ATAGTAAGGAATTTTACACTGTGTAGTCACGAATACAACACTCAAAGTGACTACTACACACTCAAAAGGAACAACACTCTTTTGGTTTCCGTCTTATTAAAATATCGCTCACACTCTATTTTTCTTCACAGACTATTTTCTTGTATAGTCTATGGAATACCTCACTTTGCTCTCAAAATGGTTTTTCTCTCTAACTTGGTGTGTTCTACAAATGAGCAAGAATGTTCTATTTATAGAAGGATAAAACCATGCTTATGTCACTAATGACATAGGTAAATATAGCAAAGTCAAAAATGGTTGCAAATCTTACCAATTTGTCAACTACCAAATCTTTTCTTTTCAACTCCAATTACTATTCCTTTTTAATAATTGTTTGTACCAATTGAATAGCTAAAGTTGACTAAAACAATGGGATGAATTCAACACTTTTAAACTGAGAGATCAACAAACTCCGCCTACCAAATGAAAATTGGCCTTTGTATTTAGTTACTTTTGAAACAGTAACCTTTATTAATCGTGATAGGGAGTCATTACTCGCATTTTATGTGCTATAAATTTAGAAGAGCAAATTTAAATGAAATTAGCAGTCTCATACTTCTTCTTTTTTCTTTCCATTTTTACCATCTACCTGTCAACTTAATAGTTCATTTTAACAACTTCAATTTATAGGACAATGTCTCAACTTCAAATTTATACCTATATTCACTTGGAATTGAACTCATCAGGCCATTTTTTGTGTTAAGACTGTTGAAAAGTCACATAAATGATATCAACCAAAGAAGTTTTCTTAACATTCTATATTTAACTTATTTGGAAAAGGTACAAGTAGCTCTAGACTATGACCGAAATCTCAGATACACATCTTAACTAAATTAAGATCTTTTTACTCCCCGTACTTATTTTTTTATAATTTTGTGCACCTTTTTGGCTTACGTGGTATCTAATAATCTCCTGCGCGTCTCAATTTTGTGGAGTCACGGAGTATGCCATGTAAGACTAAAGATGTACAAAATTACAAAAAAAAAATAAGCTTAAGACCTTAATTTAGTTATGATGTGTCTGGGATCTCGGTCATAGTCTAGGGCTACTTGTGCCTTATACCTATTGCATTCACCTATGTGCTTTGTTCCAGCATTACTTCTCAAGATTTCCACTAAACTTATGTGAAGTTATTGTGCCTGCAATATACTTTGGTATTGTTATAATTTACCTGTGCGCTTTTTGTAGTATCTTTTCACTTCCTAATATTTATTTTGTAGGTCATGATTGTTGGAATTAATGGATCAATGTTTAGTGTTTCAAAATTGTCTCTTAGTTTTTCAAGAAGTCTCTTTAGAATTTTGTAATACATGTATCTAGTAAATTGTGATACATGTATTTAGTTATTTGTGAAAAGACTTTTTGTTTTCTATTTTGAGTAGTATAAATAGTGATGTAGTTGATGATTATAATAATCTCAAGTGGCCTTAAGTAGCCTATAATAAACTTGAGCATTTTCTAAAGGTATTATTTTTTCTTTCATATTTCCTACAAATTGGTATCAAGAGCAGGTTTTCTTCTTAATTTGGGGTTAGGTGAAGAAAAAAATATGGCATCCAAAACAATTGAAGGTGTTGATTCTTCAGTGTTTCTTACTCCATTTTTTTATGAAACTGATTTTGAATACTGGAAGATAAGAATGAGAACACATTTGAAAACTGAAGGTTAGTGGACTATTGTTGCAAATGGCTTTGAAGAGCCAGACAACGATGATGATCTTACAGCAGCAGAGATGAAAAATCTTGAGGCTAAGTATCGTCAAGATGCAAAAGCCTTGAGCAAAATCCAAATAGGAGTCTCAAAAGCATATTTTGAAAAAATTGCTACTTGTGAGACTACAAAGGAAGCTTGGGATTTTTTGGAAACTGAGGTTTATGGTGACGAAAAATGTACGCACTATAAATCTCCAAACTCTTAGAAGAGAGTTTCAAAATCTAAAGATGATAGAATCTGAAAAAATTGATGAATATTGCACAAGAGTCATGAATATCGTTAATGAAATGAGTAATCATAGTCATACAATTTCTGACCAACAAGTTGTGGAAAAGATTCTAATTAGTGTCACAGAAAAGTATGAGTACATCGTTGATATCACTGAGGAGACGAAAGATCTTTCTAAGCTTTTCATCAAAGAGCTAGCTGATTCATTTCGTGCACACGAGAAGCGGAGATTTTTTCGTGAAGATCAACCCAAAGAGACGATTTTGCAGTCCAAAATAAATGAGAATTTTCAAAATTTCTCAAAAAATCATCAGAAAAAAATCACAAGACAATAAAGAACCAGGATCATGATGGTTCTTCCAAGAAGGTTGAAGAAAAAGGTGAGAAAAACTCTAGTCTTTTTTGTAAAGTTTGCAAAAAGACTAATCACAATGCAGAAAAATATTGACACAAAGGCAAGCCCTAATGTAACTTTTGTAAGAAAATTTGCCACGTTGAAAAGGATTGTTGGCACAAGAAACAGGAGCAATCAAATTTTTGTGAAACACATGAGGAAGAAAGGGAAGAAAATATTTTTTAGCTTCTAAATCTGATGCTTCAACAAAAAGCAAGGAATGGTATGTTGATAGTGGTTGTAGTAATCACATGACTGGAGATGAAGAGGTTTTCCTCTCAATTAATAATAGCATCACTACTAAAGTGAAGATGGGGAATGGAGCCTTAGTTTATGCGAAAGGTAAAGGTACTATTTCGATCAACATGAAAGGATGCGGTAAGCAAATTCATGATGCTCTTTATGTTCCTAACTTAGAAGAAAATTTGCTTAGTGTTGGTCAACTCATAGAATATGGTTATTCTCTTGTGTTTAGAGATAATTGTTGCAAAATTTATGATAAAATTGTGTCAAATCAAGTCATCGTTGAAGTAAAGATGATAAAAAGAAACTTCTCTTTGCAATTTTATTACAATGCATTAAAAATGAAATTGTAGATGATTCATGGATTTGACGCAAAAGATTTTGTCACTTGAATTTTCATGGTTTAGAGCTTCTCAAGCAAAAGAACATGGTGCAAGGCCTTCCTGAGATACATACTGAGATGGATGCATGTGAAAGTTGTATAATGGGAAAGCAACACAGGAAGTCTTTTCCAAAAGGGTGTCTTGGAGAGCAAGTGTATTTTTGGAACTAATTTGTACCGACATTTGTGGACCAATGAAGACTCCATCTCTTGGAAGTCAAAGATATTTTCTAATCTTTATTGATGATTTCTCAAGAATGACTTGAGTTTATTTCTTGAAAGAAAAGTCAGAAGCATTTGATACATTCAATAAATTTAAAGCCCCTATTGAGAAGCAAAAAGGTTGCAGCATCAAAACCACTCACAGTGATCGAGGAGGCGAGTACACAAGTCAAGAATTTGAAGAATATTGCAAAAATGAAAGCATTCAGAAGCGACTTACAGCACGGTATACTCCTCAACAAAATGGTGTATCTGAAAGAAGAAATAGAACAATTGTTGAAATGACCAGAACTATGATCATGAGAAAGGGCTGCCAAAATACTTTTGGGCAGAAGCAGTGAATACAACAGTTCACATCCTTAACAGGTGTCCAACAAAGGCACTAAAGGACAAGACACCAGTTGAAGCTTGGAGTGGAAATAAACCTTATGTAAGTCATTTTAAAATTTTTGGGTGTATTTGTTATGCTCATGTACCTGCTGAGAAAAGAACAAAATTGGATGAAAAAAGTCAAAAATGTGTCTTTCTTGGTTATAGTGATGTGACAAAAGGATATAGGCTTCTCGATGTCAAAACTAACAAACTTGTTGTTAGTAGATATGTCATTTTTTATGAAAACACAACATTGAATTGGGAGGATAAAAATATAGAGAATATTGCTATCATATCTTCAAATCAAGAAGAGGATGAGAAAGATGAAGATGTCTCTCAAGGGGGAGAAATCCCAGATTTAGATAATGAAGATCCCCCTCCAAGAGGAACCAAAAATATTGAGTGACATTTATCAAAGATGTAATTTTGCCGGTGTTGTGCCAGACAATTATGAAGACGCAATAAAGTATGATGTTTCGAAGAAAGCCATGGAAGAAAAAATTCGAATGATCGGAAAAAATAATACTTGGGAGCTTGTGGCTATTCCTAGAGAAAGAGATGTTGTAAGTCTAAAATGGATTTACAAAATCAAACTCAATCAGGAAGGAGATATTCAAAAGCACAAAGCAAGGTTGGTTGCTAGAGGCTTCACGCAAAAATCAGGTATTGATTTTTATGAAACTTTTTCTCCAGTTACTCGTCTTGAGAGAATTTGAACTGTAATTGTTGTTGCTGCACAAAAGAAATGGAAGATATTTCAACTTGATGTTAAATCAACATTTTTGAATGGGAAACTTGATGAAGAGATTTATGTTGAGCAACCTCAAGAATTTTTTGTTCAAGGGGGGAGAAGAAAAGGTGTATAGACTAAAAAAATCTCTTTACGGACTGAAGCAAGCTCCAAGAGCCTGGTACAATGAAATTGATACATACTTTCTTAAAAATAATTTTCAAAGAAGTAAAAGTGAAGCCACTTTGTATGTGAACAAAGAACATGTCAGCATTATCATTGTTTGTCTCTACGTGGATGATTTGCTCTTTACAGGAAATGATGTAAAGATGATGCAAAATTTCAAACAAGATATGATGCATGCTTATGAAATGAGTGATCTTGGATTGTTAAATTATTTCTTGGGCATCGAAGTTTCTCAAGTGAAAGAAGGAATTTTCATTTCTCAAAAGAAGTATACTAAAAGTATTCTTCAAAAGTTCAAAATGATGGATTGCAGGTCTGTGGCCATACCATTAGCAGCAAATGAGAAGTTTAGAAAAGATGATGGAGAAAAAAAAGTTAATAGCTCACTTTTTAGGAGTTTGATTGGAAGTTTGCTATATCTTACTTCAATAAGGTCAGATATTATGTTTACTGCTAGTTTATTATCCAGATTTATGCAAGAACCAATCTAAGTGCATGTTGAAGCTGCAAAGTGTGTTTACGCTACTTGCAAGGAACAATGGATTATGGGATAATGTACAAATTTGGTGGAAATTTAAACTTAATTGGTTATTCTGATAATGATTGGGGTGGAAGTATAGATGACATGAAGAGTACTTCTGATTATGCTTTCTTATTTGGATCAAACATTTGTTCTTGGTTATCAAAAAAGCAAAGTGTTGTTGCTCAATCCACTGCCGAAGCAGAATATGTTTCAACATCCAAAGCTACTTCTCAAGCTATTTGGCTTAGGAGAATATTTGAAGACATTGGTGAAAACAAAAAAAAAAGGATTGTGATAACAAATCAGCAATTGTCATTGCCATCGCCAAGAATCCAGTCAGCCATTAAAGATCAAAGCATATTTACATCAAGTATCATTTTATCCGAGAAGCACAAGAGAAAGGCGAAATTCAGTTGAATTATTGTCAGATAGGAGAACAACTTGCTGACATCTTCACCAAAGCACTTCCTAGAAATTTTTTTTGCTATCTTCGAAAACGCATTGGAGTTCTCAAGCAAAATGCATTAAGAGGGAGTGTTGGAATTAATGCATCAATGTTTAGTCTTCCAAAATTGTCTCTTAGTTTTTCAAGAAGTATCTTTAGAATTTCGTAGTACATGTATCTACTAAATTGTGATACGTGTATTAAGTTATTTGTGCAACACTTTTTGTTTTCTATTTTGAGTAGTATAAATAGTGATGTAGTTAATGATTGTAATCATCTCAAGTGGCCTTAAATAGCCTATAATAAATTTGAACATTTTTTAAAGATATTATTTTTCCTTTCATATTTTCTACAATGATACCTGAGGCTATTGGAATTGTCATGGCTCCTACCGATACATCAAGGTCTTTTTCTTATTCTTAAGCTCATTTAGTCCAAGAGTAATTGTCAAGTTGACAGTAGTTTGAAAAACAGAGATAGCAATAACTTATTTATATTTATTTGGAATGTGTTAGGGCATGCGAAATATTTCGGCTATCTGATGGTGGAAAGAAAATCCTCAAGGACTGCCCAGAGAAAGGATTTCATCCTCATAAAGAACCAGTTGATCGGAGTCCCCTCTATGGGATTGCTCCAATGGCTATATTAATTCATGTCTAAGACTAGAGATATTTTATTTGTGATGACGGGATGAAGTAGCATATATGTCTTGTTGAAATAGCTGAACAAAACTTTCTTATTTGGAATCCAAGCAGACTATCAAAACTACAGTGATAAAAGAGCTAGTAAATGTCGTAATGATTTAAGATAAATAAAAATAAAGCTTGTTGTGGTGTTGGAGTGAAAAGCGAATCTTACACTGTAGTATAGGGGTACAATTGAATCATTTTGTATATTAGTTCTAGAAACGTGCTTTGCAAGTTTGATCTCTGTTACTGTTATAATTTATATAGGCCAGATATAAAATTGCTCAATATTGTCTGACGTATTTCTATATATCTTTTTGTGCATATAAAATAAATTTTTTTAGTGTTTACTTTTTACCTAGAACTTAAATATCAACAATTTTTTTGGTGAATGATGAACAACTTGTAAGGATAGAACTAAGCCCCAAGGCTGAAATTTCTTGCGACATAAATACTCCTACAATCATTAAAAATAAAAAAAAATGAATGAAGGACACAAACCAATAAGAAAAATAGTGACCAATAAAAAAATATTACAAGAACTATTAGATTATGTGTTTCTCCAACAACCATGAAAACAAAAAATGAACGAAGACACAAATTAATAAGAAAAATAGTGACCAATAAAAAAATACTCCTTACAGAAGAACTATTAGATGATGAAAACAAAGTGTGGTAGATTAATATTTTTTATCCAATTTATAAAGGGAGAAATTAAGTACATGAAAGGTTTGTGCATGAATGTGTTTAATGATAGAAACTAAAAAGTTTTAACATTCAAATTCATTAAGAAATGAAAAATGATAAGTTGTAACATCGAATCATGTATTTGGTCTAGTTTAATTGTCATTGTTGATTTAATTTTTAAAATTAGTAAAAAAAATTTAATTTAAAAAATTAGTGAAGGACATTTTCGTAATCTAACTTTAAACTTAAAATCTTTCCACACATAATTATATATAATGATATATGATATGATTGTAATGGTATATCTGGTCCAGTTTAATTTAATTTATTGCCAATCAGTGCAACCACTGGTGTACATTATAGGGTCTTTTTAAAAAATTTAATTCTTGGTATATTTTTCTTATGCTAAAAGATGAAGTACCATCACCATATTTTATTTACGAGGAAAGGACACAAATCAAACCACTTTAGATCTTAATTATTAGAAGGGAAAAAGGATGATCTATCCTTGAATTTTGATAAATGGTACGTATATGCCTTTTATTATATTTTGCGTCTATTTAAACTCCTTGCTGTCCAATTATAGGTACACACATGTCCCTTTCACTAAGGATCCCTTCTTTTTGTACACGTATTTTAATTCTAATGAACTACCCATTTAGCCTTTCTTTTAAAATCATAAACCAATAATCCACCTCATAGACCCAATACCCTTCCTAATCCCTCTAAGATATATCCTAATTAAAAGACCCAAACCTAACAGGTCTCGTTCCTATCGCACAAAATTCTAGCCTCCATCAAGTTCGTCGATTCCGCCGCGTCTTGCTCGATTCATCGCGTGTTCTTAATTTTGTAGTCAAGTTTCATCTATATGTCGTCTCTCTCAAATCAAACCTAAAATCATGTCTGGAAGTACGTGTCATTCAATTAGTAACTTTGTGATGATACCTTGTGTTTGTGGTAAAATGGCTCGTTGTTTCACTTCAAGAACTCCATTGAACTCTGGAAGAAGATTTTATAGATGTTATAAACCTAAGATACAATTTTCGCTAAATGTAAATTAATATGATTTATGCTTGTATTTTGGTGATTATGAGTTCTTCTCTGTTATTTTTATCAAATTGAAAATTGTGGATTTTGGAGGTGGGAAGACAATTCTTCAGAAAGTTCTTCCATTGAAGTTAATTTACTGAAGTCTAAATTGGAAGTTGCTACATTGAAAATGAAGAATTTGAGAGAGTCTTTGAGTGCGGTTAAGATTGAAAGAGACAATTTGAAGATACAATTGAAGAATTTAGAGAGTTTAAACCACTTCGAGGTGAATAAATCAAGAAATTTGGAAGCGTCAAAGTTGAAGATGTTGTGTGTATTGTCATTGACTTTGTTTGTGGTAATCGTTGTTGCAATTTTCTGACTGATTAACTGTTGTGTTGCTTGAGGAATATATGTTGCTGAATTTCAGTTTAAAGTGTTAGCTATTTCAAGTGTTCCTATGCATTAGTGAATCTTACGTTTTGAATGTAATCTTCAATTATTGGCCATTATTTAGTGTAGCTATTGCTTCAAACGTATTGTGGATTTCGAGTTGGCTTTGAATATTATTTTGTGTCTTTTGCCTTGAAGTTTGTAGTATTTAGAGGTGTTATATTAGTTATTATGTTGAAGATGGATAAATTTTATGATATTGCCATTATGTTTTCCTTGTTTTATGAGAATTTGAAAATGAAATGAAAGCTTGTCTTACAGAAAGCCACTAAACTAACGCAATATTAAATTTGCACAAAATCACAAAAAAAACACCATATATAACATTCAAACATTTGTCATATATATGCAAACGACATTTGGGCAGCCTAATAACAGTAAAAGCAAAACAGAATACCGAAACGACAAGTTTAACCTTACTGGCATTAGCCTATACAGAATAGTACCACCAAACCATCACAAAAACATCATTTAAAGCACCAGCCTATACAAAACATAGCAAAAAAAACAAGTTTAGCCTTAACATCAATAAAGACACCAACCTATTCAAAACATAACAACAAAAACAAATTTAGCCTTAACATCAATAAAGGCACCAACATACACAAAAACAGTAACAACACATAATCATCATCCCTTTCGTGGCTCAACTTTTGTAGCTGGTTTGTAGTAATTGCACTCTATTCATTTCAAGTTAAGCCAGTTGGTTCTATGGAAAGATTTGCAGGTTCATTAACACCAAAATTTTAACCTCTGAAGCCTATTACTCTACTTCCAATTGATTGTTGTGGGCTTTGTCTCTTTCTCAATCTTGTTAGAAAAGCTTCTTCTGAAATTACTCTTGGCCTTAGTCTAGGGGTGAAAAATAGTTTCTAGAAGAAGCATATGCAGATTGAGTATCTGTGTTGGTTGTGGGGCTGTGCAGTTGATGTCTTCCTCAGAAGCTTCATCTTCATCAACTGAACCTCTCCTAGATTGCCTCTTTTTTCCCCTGCCAGTTTCTTTTCCTTGCCTAGCAGGTTGCTTCCCCTACTTTGCCTTATTTATCATAATAGAAGACAGACAATTAGTAAAACGGAGTAATTATTTGATGAATTAAAGATTAAATGAAAATTATCTTTTCACATCCTCTTGCATTATGGTTTTGTTCTCCACAAACTACAACAAATTCAATTATTAGGGATGGATAATTTGATCAGTTATAAATAACTTTTCGTCACAAAAAATTTGTATGACGAAAAAAATTTCATCAATTAGTCGTTGCTAAATGTGGATCACTAAAAGTCTATAGAGACGGTTTAGTGTTTTTGTCACAAAAAAGTTATATTAACTACAAAAGAAAAAATTCGTGCCTAAATGCACAAACATTTATGACAAATTTATTTGTCACAAAAAGTGTACTATTTTGTATTTGATAGTATGACTGTCACTAAACATGTTCTTACTACCGACAAACCTACATTATCACTAATTATTTCATTCAATCAGTGACGAAACTAATTGTCTCTAAAGCTATATACATTTCGAGATTGAACAAATATAATTTCGTCACTAATAATTTATTTTTTGTGTACAAAATTTCCTTTGGTCCTTGAATGTATACAAATTGGGACAAATTTACTATTATAAAAATGAATAATAATTTTGTAGCTAAATCTATTATCTTATCACTGAAAGAATTAGTTTTATTGACATCGTATAATTGTCACTATAAATTATTATGATTAGTTATGATTATAACTGTCACAAAATAAAAAATTAATTCGTATTCAATAAAAAGGATGATATTAGGACAAAAGAAAAAATTTCACTAAATGTAGTCAACTTATAGTGAACTAATTTGTTTGGTGACAAAAACATTTGTCTGAAAAACTTAAATTACTCGTTGCTAAAAAGTTACCTTTAATGATGAAATATTTTGTCACTAATTACAAATATTTGATGACATTTAATTATTACACATTAATATTAATTTTTAAATTATTATGTTAAATAGATTGAAAATTAAATAATAAAACATGTCAAATAACAAAAAAATTCACCCATGATCGTACAATTGAAAAGAACTAAAATTATACCGAGGTAGTATTCATCCATGATCATACAATTTAAAAGAACTAAAACATAAGAAGTTCCTAAAGTAGAAGCAAAATATGTCCAATAACAAGATAAACTAACTGAAATCTACTAAATATTACTCCCAAATTATGACAAATAAGAAGCACTTTCTTCCAAAGTACCAATACTGTGGTGACATTTACACGTGTTATACCTGTGCAAAAAGAGAGGAAACAAAATTAAGATTTAACTTAAAATATTCATACTACGGTCAAAAGTAGAATATGTAACACATGTTATGTCTTCCATATGTAGTAATTCTCAGTTTTATAAGACCTGCAAAACAAATTATACATAATAGAAGGGCATCCAAGGCATTATATAATCTGCTACTCATGGATTTTGTTTCTTGGAGGATTTATGTTTGGTATTGTTATAACTGTTAAATTTTGAAGTTCCTTTTTAAAAAAAAAAAGGAATCCACTAAACAAAGCAACACCAGTGAATTTAACATCTCATACATACAGATATCTTTGAGGACACACCAACTATGACATTTTGTCCAACACTATTCAAATTTATTATTTCCAGATTACTCCTATGAATGATAAGCTCATCCCCAAGAAAAAATTACCTCAGTTAACAGAGCATGCTACGATTTGCTTCAGCTATGGACAATAGCAAGATAAGTGAAATACTCGGTAAATATCATATCAACTATGTGTTGGATAATATCGAGGGAAAGGGCTTACCAAAGATTGCAATTA